AGATGCAGCTCCCCTCAACCTGGCTGACAGCTTCCCCTTACTCCACCGCCCCTCCGAGGCAGCTTCAGCCCCTAATCACAATGATTGGGGCTCTCCAACGAGAGAGCATGGACCGAAGCTGCAGACAGTCGCAGTCCCCGGTCCGTCAACAAGGAGGGCTTAACCCGGAAGTCCCAGGACCAAAATTAATTAAAGAGATAGAGAGATATGGAGAGGTGGCAGGGTTATCAATTAAAAAGGATAAAACTAAAATGATAACAAAAAAAGCTAACAGAGAAACAAAAAAAAGAAATTAGAAGAGGTAATGGGCTTACAAATTGTAAAAAGAATTAAATATTTAGGAATTTGGCTCATGGCAAGATGTTCAACAATAAAAGAAGATAATTACATAAAATTTGTATGAGAAATAAAAAAAGATTTTGAAAAATGGGGGAAATTGCAATTATCAATGTTAAGAAGAATAGTGACTATTAAGATGAACATCTTGCCAAGAATATTATTCCTCTTTCAAAATATTCCAATTAAATTAGATAAAAAATAATTAACTAATTAAATAAAATGACTACAAAATTTATTTGGTCAGAGGAAAAACCTAGAATAAAATTAAGCTCCTTACAAGATAATAGATACAGAGGTGGATTTGGGCTCCCTGTCTGGGAACTATATTATAAAGTAGCAATTTTAACATGGATTAAGGATTGGGCCAATTTGAGAAACAAAAGAGTTTTAATTTTAGAAGGGCATGATTTGGAAGCAGGGTGGCATGCCTTCATGTGGAACCTGGGAAATAAGTTACACACATTTTAATAGGCATATAATTAGGTTCATTATTAAAGGTGTGGAAAGAAATTAAACACAAACATATGAAGAGCCCAGGATGGGTTTCCGTCATGGAGGCATTGATCCACCCCAACGCACTAGAAACTGGAAGAAAAATTATGTATTATGATGTACTAAATTCCCAAGGATGATTAATGACGAATCAAGAAATTAGAGAGCAAGGGATGAAAATAGAGTGGTGGCCATATTTACAACTCAAGGCAAGATATAAAAAAGACATGGAAGAGTTTGGGATTGAGATAAAACCGAATCAATTAGATAAAATATTAGAGGGAACAGATGAAAAATTAATCTCAAAAATGTATAACTACCTGTTAGAATATGAAATGGCGGAAGAAATAGTTAAAGGCCCATTGATCACATGGGCAAGGAATGTAGGGCACAATATTAATTTGGAAGATTGGGAAAAAATTTGGAATCAAAATTACAAAATAACAAAATTGGTGATCTATAAAGAAAATCAATATAAAATGTGTTACTGGTGGTATCTCTCACTCTCAAGGTTAGCTAACATTTATCCAAACATGAGTCCGATGTGTTGGAAATGCAAGCAAACGAGGGGCACCTTCTTCCATACTTGGTGGCTCTGCCCAAAAAGTAAAAAATATTGGAAAAAAATTAGACTTACAGCTTGGGATAAATGGTATAAGTGGATTAAAGACTAAAACCCAGGAAATTAAAAGATATGTTTTTGATGAATGGAATAGTTAAATTAAGAATGTTTACCAAATAAGAAACGAATAGTAGTAAAATTATTACCAAGAAAAAAGCACACCGTCTTAGTTGATTAGAAGCATATGTTTTATGTTTTATATGTTTATTATTATGATTTGTATATATAGATTTTGTCTACAATGTAAGGTTGTATTCAATGTATTGTACATAGTGTTTTTCTTTTTTAATCTCTAATAAAGTTTTCTTTAAAAAAAGAAAGAAAGAAAGTAGCCAGAGCATTTTCATGTGGAGGAGTTTCTGCTCTCCTCTTACACTGAAAAGCCTGTCATGTGCTCCAGTATCAGATTATCAGAAGCTGATCTGAGTTGGCCTTTTTATGCTATCATATAATTTAAATTGGTCTTCTCTGTTGAGGAAACCATAGTTCCAGCATTGCTTAGAGGGTAACTGGAATTCAGAGAGCCAGTTTGGTGTAGTGGATAAGGCATCAGGCTAGAAAATAGGTGACAGCGAGTTTTAGTCCCACCTTGGGCACAAAGCCAGTTGGGTGATCTTGGGCCACAGTCATTTTCTCTCAGCCTTAGGAAGGAGGCAATGGCAAACCACTTCTGAAAAATCTTGCCAAGGGACTTGCAGGGACTTGTCCAGGTAGTCTCGCAACACAATTGAATGGAAGAAGAAAAAATGAATTCAGACTACAACTGAAGTAGCCACTCTCAAAACAGTTACAGTTTTTCCCTGGAAAAAAGTGATTGTGTTGTTTATATGATGGCAGAATGATCATGACAAAGTTGTCCATGCATTAGATTATTATTATGAATATTTATTATTATTTGACAGTTTCATGTGAACATGCCATCAGAAGCTGTTCAACCCAGGTCAGACTGGCAGGTGCAGGTACCAATAAGGTCTGTTTATTGCACTGCTATACCACGACAGACATCCTCCAACAGTGACAGTAAAGCTTCACCCCAATATTCCCTGAAGGCAGTCACCCACAGACAGTGCAACCCAGTCCCGCAAACTAGGTCCAACTGTCACCAGAGCTGATCCACAAGGCAAGGAGGAAGTCCAAAGTCCACAAACAAGGTTCAGAGTCCACAAAACAAGGTCCAAAATCCACAAGGCTGAAACACAATCCAAAGTCCACGAAGCAGGGTTTACGAGGGCTGGGGAAGTGCATGCTGAAGCAAACAGTTGTTTCCAACAAATGCACCTTCCCCCTACAGCTGGCTAAATCACCCCAAGCCAGGTGTTCCTTGTGAGGAGGGGCAGGGCTGCTTCCTCCTAAACAGCCTTGTAGACCCCACCTCTGTGCTTCCCTTTGCTCTCCTCTCCCTGTCTGCAGATTGGGTGCACAAGACAGCTGTGACAGCAGAGACAGCAGAGGGGATCTGTTGCCTTTCATCACCATTGACTTTCATCACCATCTGCTTTTGGGCCGGCATCTCCCTGTCTGGTTGACCACTTCCCCAATGCTGGATGGGCCTGGGGCTGTCATCCTCAGACCCCAGGTTCTACAGACATTCCTCGGGAGACATGCCATCCCCATCAGATGGTCTTGGTTCCAGCTCCTCCTCTGAACAGGATTCTGATGCGGCTATCATGAAAGCTCAGTATTATCCACATCTTAGGAAATTAAACCTTCCTCAGGAAATCATACCAATTCTCAGCTGGCTGTCACTGAGATACGTGGGAGTTAAAAATCCACATAGTCAGAGGGTGCCAGGTTTGAGAAGGCTGCTGTAATTGCATGGAAATATATTTGAACCAAAAATGTATAAAATAACTTCTTGAGTTCTCTTAGTAGTTTAGTTGTAGCCAAATTGAATTTTTATCATTTTCTTCTGCTGATAGAGAATTGAAGTCTAAAATCTCAATTTTGTTACCTTTTGGTACTCAAATTGAGATAGTTATTCATAGGGGACACACACTGAAACACTTCCTTTAAAGACTTGCAAATTCCAAAAAGATGATTTAGAGCAAGGCTGTCAAACTCGTGGCCCGTGGTCCCGGATGTGTCACGCACTGGCCATGCCCATGTCTGGTTTAGCAAAGGGGAAAAAAGTCCCCCCTGCTTCAGAGTATGTGGGGGGACAAAATTGGCTCCTGTTTGCAATTCTTTACAGCAGCGGTGTCTTTTTTTGTGATCACAAAGTTGCTTGAAGGTAGTTGCAGACACATGTCCATGCATGCTGCAAAGCACTCCTGTGGGGTGGAATCCAAAGTATTACACAGTCCTTATTTTTTTCGGGGTGGGGTGGGGTGGGGTGGGTTGTAAGCTATCTCTCCAGGGCAAAGATGGAATTGCAAGCTCATCTGTGTAATACACGGAGTCCTTGACTTAATGCCTGTTCATTCAACAACTGTGCAAAACTCCAGTGGTGCTGAATGAAGGAACCTACGACCTCAAAGGTCCGCCCATTGTAGCACCCCTGCAGTCATGACAAAAATTCAAGCACTTGACAGCAAATCTGCAGTTACAACCACAGGAGTGCTGCCAGTCCCCCCAAGACAATGAGACATTGGCTGCCAAGGTCCACTGATGCATGGGCCTTCCCGCTCAAAACTTCTGGAAGGCTTGGACCTTCACCCTACCTCACCATGCCTAAAAGGTTTGTACCATCTCCCCATCCCACCACTCCCCCAGAAAACTTGGGCCTTCCCCCTGCCCAACTGTTTACTTTCCATTTCCATGCAGCTGCTGACAAGTGCACCTCTGCACAGTCATTTAACCCAGGGGTCCCCAACCACCGGTCCCCGGTCCGGTACCGGTCCGTGGATCATTTTTTACCGGGCCGCAAAGCTTGGGTGCCGCGAGGGGGAGAGAGGGAGAAAAGAGCACTATTGTATGCCCCAGCGCTAGTCTCCCTTTTCCTCTCCTCCTTCTCCCCCGTCAAACATGCACACGCACACGCGCAGATAAAGCTGTTGCTGTTGCTGCTGCACCACGACCAGGAGGAACAGATTGAGCACAGGTGCTGAAGGAGCGCCACGGCGTCCGTCGCCAGAGCGCAAAGAAGCAGCTGCGGTGGCGGCACCTCCAACTTTCCCAGGGAAGGTCATTCCCTGACCAGTCCCGCTTCCCAGCCCACGCTTGCACCCCTCGCCCCCCTGCCGCCCACTTCCTCGCAGGCGGAGGTGGGAAGCTGCGAGGAATTTGGGCGTGCTTTCTAGCCGGCTGTGTCAAGTCTTTTTTTTTTTTTTGCCCGAGGCTGGAAAGAAGAAGGGCAACAGGTCACTGAGGAAGGTGAGAGAGACTGAGAAAGGAGAGAGAAGCCCGGCTAAAGCAGCTCCGCGCTGCTTTAAGGACTAGTAGTAGAAGGTACCGGTCCGTGGAAGAATAAATAATCGTAAAACCCGTCCCTGGTTCAAAAAAGGTTGGGGGCCACTCAATGGGGTAAGCTGGGATTGTGGTTGTTGAGCAAAGTCAGCAAAACTTCAGTGACTATTCCAGCGCTAACCTCCTTTAATTGCTTTTCCAGATAGAGAATATATCTGATGCAGCGTTTGCCACTCTCCATGCTAGGTATGAGGAAATGGAGCGAGCCAGGTGGCTTTGGAATACAAGTATGCCACCACAGCGGCGAGGTAGCAGGTAAGCTTGCCTGCTGCTTCAGCAGTAGAATGCTTAGTGGCCCAAATGCTTCCATGTTAAGCACCTGCTCTTAATTTTTCAGCAACATTGCCGCAAAGACCATATCTCTGTTGAGTTGTGAACTGTTGCAAAGTTCATATGGGCATGAATAATGAGAGGTTGCAGAGAACCGTCTGCTGGCGTTTAAAGTTGCTTGTGCTGGTGAGCAAGACATGGTTCAGTAAATGAAGTTGATCTGCATCTGCATGAGTGCCACTAACATCTGGGGGCATTGTTTTCCAGGAATAGTTCAGAAGCTTTACAGTCTTACAGAACTTGAGAATCCCATCTGCTATGAAGTATAATAGGATGGATCCATGTTGCACGAAGTTTACAGTCTGAACTTCAGTGAAGGACAACAGCAGTAGAAAAAAATGGGAAATGGATGTTGGGATAGAGAAAATATATATCAGCTGCTTTTCATTTCATGTGCAGTGGTGCTTAACAGTTTGTGAACCACTTTGAATTTTCAATATTTCTGCATAAATATGACCTAAAACTTGATCTGCTCTGTGGGGTTCTTGGTGGTCTCCGACCTTGGTGTTTTTCTTGTAGTCGTTTCTGTTTAGCACTGATGATGTTAGCTAGTTTGGTAATGAAACGTCTGCAAAAAAACCACCAAGGTCAGAGAGCATCAAGGACCCCGCAGTTCAATACTGAGCTACAAATATTCTCTTCTATGATCTGTTCTCCATACAAGTCCTAAAATTAGATAAAGAAAACCCAATTAAACAAATGAGTCAAGAACAGTATGCCTGTTTATTGAGGAAAATGATCCAAAGCTACATATCTGTGTGTGGCAGAAGTATATGAACCTTTAGAATTATCAGTTCATTTGGAGGGGAAATTAGAGTCAAGTGTTTCAATCTATGGGGTGACAGTCAGGTGTGAGTGTGGGAGGTCCTGACTTATTTAAGGAACAGAATTATGGGTATTTGCTATCAAAGCCTGATCTTCAAAATAGGCATGTCATGGCTCAAACAAAGAAAATTTCTGAGAACCTCTGAACAACAGTTGTTGATACGCAGTAGACAGGAAAACGTTGCAAAACTATTTTCAGAGAGTTTGGACTTCACTACTCCACTGTCAGGCAGATAGTATTGAATTGTCTTCATTTGTACACTTTTGTTATTCTCCCCAGGAGAGGTCGATGAAACAAGTTCACACCAAGAGCAAAGTTTGTAATACTTCGGGAGGTCTCAGATAACCCCAGGGGTAATGACTAAGGAACTAAAGGCCTTTCTTGCATAGGTGAATGTCACTGTTTGTGAGACCACCATCAGGAGAACACTGAACAACAATGCTGTGTGGCGTAGGTTTGCAAGAGAAAGCCACTGCTCTCCAAAAAGAATATGGCTCCCTATCTACGGTTTGTAAAAGGCCATCTAGATAAGCCTTGAAGGCTATTGTAAGAATGTTCTGTGCACAAATGAAACCAAAATAAACCTTTTTTGCTTGAATAAAAACTGGTATGTTTGGCAAAAGATAACCCCTGCATTCCAGTATAAGAAGCTTATCCCATCTTTGAAACATGTTGCGGGCAGTATCATGGTTTGGACTTCCTTTGCTTCCTGTAGATTAGGACAGCTGACCATTGTTGAAGGAATTGGGTCATGCAGCAAAACAAAGACCCAAAATACACAAGTTGTATGACCAAAGAATGGTTGAAGTAGAAGAAATTTAATGTTTTGGAATTGCCAAGTTTAAGTCCTGGTCTTGATCCTATAGAAATTGTGTGTAAGGATTTGAACAGGGCAATTCATGCAAGGAAAGCCCACCAACATCCCTGAGTTGAAGCTTGTTCTGTAAGGAGGAATGGGCTAAAATTCCTCCAGGCTCATTGCAGGACTGATCAACAGTTAATGGAAACATTTATTTGCAGTTATTGCTGCCCAAGGGCGGCACACCAGTTATTGAAAACAAATGTTTGCATACTTTCACACACACTCAAATATGTAGCTTTGGATATTTTTCATCAAATGTTTTTGATTCATTTAATTGGATTCTGTTTATCTAATTTTAGGACTTGTGTGGAGAACAGATCAGGTTTTAGGTCATATTTATGCAGAAATACTGAACGTTCAAAAGTGTTCACAAACTTTAAAAGCACCAGTGAGCTGAGTTCATCATAAAATGGTAGAAGGGTTTGTGTCAAAAGCTTTGTTCAAGAAATACAGGTTCAGAAGGGGTTTGAAGGAAAGATGTAGCATAAGAGAGGTGTTCTGAGAGAAGTGTAAGAAGGAGCCTTTTCTGAAAGAAGCGGGGGTGTCTAGGACTATTAGGCACTGACCCATGGCCACACCCACTTCTCTCCCAGCCCCCTGCCCCCTGCCGCAGCCAACCCACAGCTTTAAACTTGTTTATTTGGTATAGAGCTCTGCGGCATATGGATGGAACACCACTCGTAAAGCCTGGAATGGGAAGTCAAGGGTATCCAGGAAGAATGCTTCTCTGTCTTCTCTGTGAGAGGCAGCAGCAGGCTGGCCTTGTCTGATGTTCCCAGAGTACTTGGATGGGAGACCACCAGGTGATCTTAGGTTTGTAGGCTTGGCATGTGTTTATGACAGTTGCAGTGTCCCGGGGTTGTGTGATGCCGACCTTCTGACAAGCAAAGTCACTTAACAACCATGTTACTTATTGAAGAGCTACAGTGATTCACTTAACAACTGTGGCAAGAAAGGTAAAATGGGGCAAAACTCATTTAACAACTCTTGCTTAGTAACAGAAATTTTGGGCTCAAATGTGGTTGTACATCAAGGACTGTTGAATATCATTTCTGCATGCTATATAAAGACTTGACCCACTTAATAAAGGCCTTTCACTTTAGATTTGTGGTTGGCATTTGGGGTGCGTGCAAAAGCCACTTTGCAAAATTGGTATTGCTTTCCCAGATTCAAGGATCAACGTCTTTCAGGTTTCATGCCAACTATCTCCTGAGCTTTAAAGGCAGCAGCACCAGTTCCAGTCTTCTGATTGCTAAAACTGTTTATTCAGGATCCAGGAAAGGAAAAAATATTCTTTGCAACGCTTTTCTAAGGGACCTCGAAAAAGATCCTGGGATTTAGCTGGCTGGGTCCCTAGAGGACTTCCAAGCTGGCAGTGCAAATTTCAGAGGACTGACTGGATCTTCTCTTAATCTGGGTTTGCTTGAGGCTTGTGACCCAGGCATGAAAAGGAGAGGCTTAACGTGTGCTCCAGCTCAGATCTTTTACAAGTAGTCCTCAACTTAACAACCACTTATTTAGGGACTGTTCCAAATCACAACAGCACTGAAAAATGTGACTTAAAACCAGTCCTCGCACTTATGATCATCACATACCTACGGTCATGTGATCAGAATTCAAGTACTTGGCAACTGGCATGTGTTTGTGTTGGTTGCACCATCCCAGGGTCATGTGATCACCATTCACATGACCTTCCCAGCCAACTTCCAACAAGCCAAGCCAATGAGGGAAGCCAGATTTTCTTAAGGACCACATGATTCACTTAACAACTGCAGTGTGTCAACTCAAAAATATTTCTCTTGTCTTTTAGAGTTGTCAGCAGAAAGGGAGTGGGGGGAGTAATGCATACCTTAGATAATTGCTAGGTGGCCGAAGCTTCTGGCGCACAAGATTATTACTGGAGAGCATGATTGATGACTCTTGGCTATGGATGTGTCCCATTGGAGAATATACATTCAGGGAGTGGGGGAAGACCAGGGTCAAGGGTGAGATGAATGATGTGTCTCAGTGTCAGCTGCACCCAGGTAACGCCGACATGTTCACTCCTAATAAATGCTTTTTTTTAAACTCTGAGAGATGTGGCTAGAGACTCATGATTCAAATGGGGGTGGATTGTTGGAGCCCTGACAGCCAGCTGACACTCACAATACATCAGTGACCGGGGTCCTGGGTCCCGACCTCTCAGATCGCTCCCCGGCATCTGGGGTGCGTGGAGAGAAACTCAGGCAGCTATAGCAGAGATTGGGCTATCAGGAGGAGAAACAGACTTGGCCTCTAGCCAGAAGCAAACAGAAGCTGACAGCATAATTAAAGCTGGAGATCAGCCCTCCTTGAATTCTGAAGCGAAGAGACTGGCTTCAAGGGAAGAAAGAAACCCAGATAAGTACTGGTGGGAAAAGAAAGTTCCTAAAGCCTCTGAGGCTGAGGTTCCCCATCCCCAGGCCCAAAAAGGGAGAAGGCACTTCAATGAACTGGGAAGAGTGGATTGGATGTGGGACTGGGCACAGGCCAGGACCCCAAAGTCCCTGATTGAATCCCAGGGGAGACCCATGGAGCAACCGGGGGAGGAATTTGACCAGGATGATGGCCCATCATGCTGCCCAAACCAGAGGGAAGTTTTTACAGAGTCCTTTGAAGTGAGGAGAAGTAGGCGAGGCCACAGCGCTCCTTCTTCACCCAACAGAAGGAAAAAAAGTCCGAAGCTACAGCCAGTGCCTTCTCTATGCAACAGGCAGCCCCCTCCCCCTGTGCGAACTAGAGCCAGGGAAGAAGGCCAGCCACATCAAGCGCAGGCTTACAGAGGGCAACAGGAGGAGGAAGGAGCAGTGTTCAATGAATCACCCCGATTCAGGGGGAAATTTGATGGGGACCCAGACCAGCTAGCTCTATTCCTTGACTTAGCTGAGATCCACCTAGAACACTTATGGACATCTCCACACCTCCCCTAGAGCCATGGTGAATGCCATTTCCAAGGCATTGGAGGGAGAAGCAAGAGGATAGCTAGCAACCCTCCACAAGAGAAGGGGCCCGCAACTGCAGGATATAGATGACTTCCTATGACTGCTAGAGGCCAGATTTGAGGAGGCAGAGAGGACCTGTATGTGGAAGATGAGCTCAGCAACCTAAAGCAGGGAGGAAGACCCATCAAGGAACACATCCATGAATTCAGGAGGATCAGTGGGAAGATACACCTTTTGCCTGAACGGAAGCTGGTTCATTTTTCCAGAACAAGCCTAGATAAGCAAATTAGCCAAGTAACCACCTATAGGGACATCCCAAACCGACTGTCTGAGTGGTTCCAGGTGGCCATAAAAGACGACAGGGCATTACGCGCTAACAACATGAGAAAGCCACCGAAAACCAAAGAGAAAGATCAGCCAGACCAGAGACAACCCAGGCGACGAGGAGCTACAGCACCACAACCAGTCCCAAAACCAGCCCTCCTACGAAGCCCAATTAAATGTTACCGATGTGTGGGAATGGGTCACATGGCAGCAGCGTGCACAACCCCAGGCCCGAAACCAAAGCCAGAACCACCATCCAGAGCACGACTGGAACAAGGCCCCAGGCGTGCCACCAGTGCATTTCAGAAGGTCGTTCAGTCTGCAGAGGTCACTCTCCATCCAGCTGAAGCGGCGGGAACCCCGGACAACAATGACCAGTCACCAGATACTTATGACAGCGGATGAGGGTGAAAATGACCCAATGGTGAGTGGACCGATTCCCCCTTTCATCTTCCCAATATGGCTTACGGCCCCTAAAGCAAGAAATAAGGGAGCTTCCCAAGCCGTAATAGATTCAGGCTGCACCAGATGCCTGATCAACCTAACCATGGTCATAAACTGGGGATCAGAGTGAAAAAAACTAGCCCACCCAATCCAGTTCGAACAAGTAGATGGCTCCCTGCTAGGAGGAGCCAACGACACTCACTTAACCGAACCAGTGAGACTAGAGCTAGTGGAACACTGGGAAACAATTCGATTTGTAGTGGCTCCCAAAATGACAGATGCAGTCATACTGGGACTTTCCTGGCTAGACAAGTGGGGCCCGACCATCTGATGGCAGGGGGAAGCCGCAGATTGAGGATAGCAAAGGGACCACAGCCCCTACCTCACCAGCGAATAAAAGCAGCGCCAATGCAAGGAACCCTCTCAGAGAGTTTACCAGAGCAACTGGCAGCCACCTCCAACAAAACCCCAGGGGCTGGACAGATCCCCAGAGAATATCGGGACCTCTCAAAGGTATTCAGTGGGACTGAATGTAATGTCCTACCTCCCCACCGTGAAACAGACTATGCCATAGAAATCATCCCCCGGGGCAAAATTACCAAATCCCAAAATGTACCCTCCGACGCCCCGGGAAATTCAAGAAATGCACAAATATATAGACAAAAAACTAGCAAGGGGTTTCATTGAGCCAGCCAAGCCACGGGTCACAGCCCCATTCCTGTTCAAAGAAAAAAAAAGATGGGACTATAAGATTATGTGTCAATTTTAGAAGTATCAGCAGCCTGTGTGTACACAACCTATAACCCCTCCTGCTCATGAAGGACATGCTATCCCACCTGGCCAAAGGGAAGGTCTTTACCAAACTAGACCTCAGAGTCCACATCAGGGAGGGGGACGAATAGAAAATGGTGTTCAACTGCCCCCTAGGGAGCTTCCAATTCAACGTCATGCCTTTTGAACTACAGGGAACCCCAGCGGTGTTTATGCAATTAATAAATGAGGTGCTACATGAACATCTTTATAAGGGGGTCCTTGTCTACTTGAGCGATATTCTCATCTACACTGAGATGATGGATGACCACGCAACCCTAGTACGTCAAGTACTGGAAAAACATCTAGCAGCAAACCTGTACGTCAAACTGTCGAAATGTGAATTTCACTGCATACAGATGGACTACCTGGGATACTGAGTCTCCAATGAAGGCATAGAGATGGACCTAGCCAAAATACAAGCCGTCCTAGGTTGGCAAGCCCCATGCACCCACAGACAGCTACAAAGCTTCCTGGGGTTTGCAAACTTCTACCAGCAATTCATTCCCTCCTTCACTAGGATTGCCAAAGCCATGATGGACCTTCTAAAGACAGGGAGTACAGGAACGAAACCCCACCCGGGACAACCCCTACAGTGGGACCTAACCTGCCAAAAAGCATTTGAAATGCTGAAAGAACTGTTTGCAAAAGAACTGGTGCTGAAGCACCCTGACCCTGAACAACCCTTCATCATTCAAGCAGATGCCAGTGACATGGCAGTGGGAGCAGTGCTACTCCAAAGAAATGACCAAGGAAACCTACAGCCCTGCGCCTACACCTCCCATAAGCTCATGGACACAGAGAGGCGATGGGCCGCATGGGAAAAAGAGGCTTTCATGATAAGGTGGGCACTGCAAACCTGGCGTCACCTGCTGGAAGGTGGCCAGAAGCCATTCGAAGTTTTGACTGACCATAAAAATCTGGAAAGCCTTAGGACCCCTCAAAAACTATCACCCAAACAAGTCCGCTAGGTCCAATACTTCAACCAATTCAACTTTGTGCTAAAACACATCCCGGGGAGAAAGAACTTTCTGGCTGACACTCTCTCTCACATATAAATACAAAAGGGAGGAGATTGTAAATGCCATCATCCCCCCTACCCAAGTAGCTGCTCAAGTAACCACCAGGTGACAATGCCACAACCGACAAGACTGACCTGCAGATGACTTAACCACAAACTGCTAGCAGACCATTGGTTCGGGGACAATCAACACATCTTTTCTTTTTTGAAAAAGTTTTTTTATTTTTACAACAAAAACAAACATATAACACCATCTTTCAGTTCAACAGTGTGTCTGTTGGGTACATATATCCTGTGCACATAATAATATTATCATATATTTCTTACTTGTTTATATATATAACCATTCTAATCAATATTTTATCTCGCATTAGTCAATTATTATACAGTATTATCATTATTGTAATTATTATCTTTCAAAAATATATTTCATCCTTACCTAAATTATATTCATTCTGTTGCTTAATCTAAGTCAATTAATTGTAATATATTACTATTATCACATGTTTCCGTTTCTTACTCTTCTGTCTAACCATTCATAAAATAAATTCCATATCTTATTACCATTGTCAATCTACTAATTTCTGCACATTCCATTATTTTCTTAATTGTTTTCTCCTCTGTCAGAATTTTCTTGTTTTTCCAATTTTGTGCAAATACAATTTTAGCTGCTGTTAATACATTAATAATCAAATATGTTGTCTCTCTACTATAACCTTCAGGCAAAATTCCTAATAAAAATATCTCTGGTTTTAAATCTATGTGTTGTTCTATCATTTTTTCCAACCACATGTATATTCTAGTCCAATATTTTTTAGTGTCAATGCATGTCCACCACATATGGTAGTATGATCCAGGTATTTGATGACATTTCCAGCATTTCGCTGATTTATCTTTGAACATCTTGGCTATTCTCTCTGGAGGTAAGTACCACCTATAAAACATCTTATACAAGTTCTCTTTGTAGGCCATTAACATAGTTAATTTGTAGTTTCTAGTCCATAGTGTCTGCCATTTGTCCAAGTCTATCCCATATCCAAAATTTTCTCCCATGCAATCATTGTTTCTTTAACTTTCTCTTCTTCTAATTTCACTCCTAATAAATAACCATATAGTTTTTTGATCATCTTCTCTTCAGTGCCTGTTAGGATTTTGTCTAATTCAGTCAGTTCCTTATAAAACCCAGACATCTTAGTATCTTTTTCATACCTTGAGTGTATTTGCAAATATGAATACCAGCCTATACTTATCCCTTGTTCCTCTAGTTCTTGCTTTGTTTTGAGTTCACTCTTTTCATTTAAAATTTCCTCATATCTAATAATATGTTCCATTTTAAAAACATTTGAAAACATTTTGGTATGTAAATGCCTCTATTGTTGACAACCAGACTGGTATTTTCATATAGTGATATTCCCTTATTTTCTCCCATACTTTTAATAAGGCGTCCCTGACACGATGTCTCCTAAAATATCCATGTACCCTACTTTCATTCTACCATAGGAATGCATGCCACCCCATTGCAAATCATGTCCTTCCAATATTAACAGTCTAGCATTTTTCAATACAATCCATTGTTTCATCCACATCAATATTGCTGCCTGATAGTATAGTTCCCAATTGGGCAGTCCAAAACCTCCTCTTACTCTTGCATCCTGCAACAATTTTATCTTGATTCTTGTCTTTTTCCCTTGCCAAATGAATTTCAACATCATTTTATTTAAATCCCCAAAATATTTTTCCTCAATCTTATTGGAATCATCTGGAACAAATATAATAATTTTGGCAATATGTTCATTTTTATCGTCACTATTCTCCCCGTTAAGGATAATTGTAATTTTTTCCATTTTTCCAAATCTGTTGCAATCTGTTGTTGTAATCTGTCATAGTTATCCTCTTTAAGAGTTCCACATCTAGCTGTCATTTGTATCCCTAAATATTTCACTTTTTTGTGATTTGGATATGTAGTTTATCCATTAATCTTTTCTTTTGTTTTTCAATCATATTTTTCACCATTTTTTGTTTTTTCCTTGTTTATTTTCAGTCCTGCAACTTCGCCATATTCTTCTATTTTTTTGATCAACTTAGGACCTGTTTCCATTGGTTCTTCTAATATAAAAACCAAATCATCTGCAAATGCTTGTAATTTATACTCTTCCTTTTTTATTTTCATTCCCTTTATTTCTTCATTTTTCCTGATGTTTCTATTCAGTACTTCCAAAGTCAGTACAAACAACAGTGGGGACAGCGGGCAACCTTGCCTAGTTCCTTTTTGAATATTAATATTGTCTGTCAATTCTCCATATTTGTTTGTTATATATCGCCTTTATTGCCGTAGTAAATCTATCTCCAAAGCCCATCTCCTTCAATTGCAACAGCATAAATTGCCAATTCACATTGTCAAAGGCTTTCTGTGCATCTAAGAAAACCAATGCCATTTGTTTCTCAGGGTGCGCTTCGTAGTATTCCAGTGTATTCAAAATAATTCTCATGTTATTTTTTATTTGTCTCTTAGTCAGAAATCTATTTTGATCTGGTTGTATAAAATAATTTAAATATCTTTTAAGTCTTTCTGCCATTATTGAGGTGAATATTTTATAGTTGGCATTTAGCAAGGATATTGGTCTACAATTTTTTATTTGTTGAGGATCAGTGTCTTCCTTTGGTATAAGTGTAACATATGCCTCTGTCCATGAGTCAGGTATTTTATTTCTTGTCAGGACCTCGTTCAATACTTCAAGCATTGTAGTAGAAATCAATTCCTGTATTGCCTTATAGAATTCTGCTAGTAGCCCATCTGGGCGGGAGCTTTTCCAATATTTTGTCTGTTTATAGCTTCTGTCAGTTCCATCATTGTTACTTTCTCTTCTAACATAGTCTTTACTTCATCAGGTATTTTCGGTAATTCTGCCTCTTGCAAGTATTGCTGAACTTTTCTTTCTGGTATGGCCTCCTGCTCATATAATTTATCACATAATACCTCTGCACTATTTTTTTCTTCTCTTCACTTCCGTGGCATAACATGCCATTTTCATCTGTTAATTGTACTATTCTTTTGAATTTTTTCTTTTTTCAGTTTGTATGCTAACCATCTACCTGGTTTATTTGCAGTTTCAAAAATGTTCTGTTTAACTCCCCTATTTATTTATTTTTTGCTAGTTCTTCTTTCTCCATTAATCCCATTCTATGTTTAGTTATATCCATTTGGTTTTTAATGTTTTTATGTTGTGGGTTACGTTGTAATTCCTTCTCCAACTTCTTATAGTCTTCTTCTAAGACCTGTTGCATTTGTCTCTTTTTAATATGCCTTCTTCTTGTATAAGTTATAATCACACCGCCTTCATGGTGTCCCATACATTTTGTAGTGAGGTTGCCTCTGGTTTATTTTTATTTATTTTTTTTGAAGAAAAAAGCCATTTCTTTCCCCATGTTATTGATGAATTCTTTTTCCTTCAAAACTGAATTATTCAAAGTCCGTCTTGACCTTTTCTTCTGTCCCTTCCATTTGACCCATATTGGATTATGGTCTGTCCATGTACTTGTTTCAATATTAACTTCATGTATGTTTGAAATTAAATCCGATGACATCCAAATCATATCTATTCTTGACCATGATAAATGTCTGTTAGAATAAAATGTATATTGTCTATTTTTGTTATTCAATTCTCTCTATGTATCTTTAATACTTAATTCCTCCACCCTCTTGTGAAAGGATTTCAGTAGTGTACTTCTATTTTTTTCTGTTTGTTTAGTTTTCTGCATTTTATAGTCTAGCTCTGCATCTACAATTGCACTGAAGTCTTCAAGAATACATATTGTATCGTATTCCAATTCAATTATTTTATATTTCTTATAAAATTCATCTTGTTTGTTATTTGGTGCATATAGTGCTATTAAAAGCATCTTTAAGTTGTTATCTGTTATTTCAACCATCAGTATTCTTCTTTCTTCATCTGTATAAATTAGTTTGGTTTTAATTGTGTTTTTAATGTATAGGGCAACTCCTCTCTTATTTTGTTGTGCCAATGATGTATATAAGTTGCCAATTCTGGGACAGTTCAACAGATATGCATGCTGTTTTTTGATATGCACTTCTTGTAAAGAAATTATGTCCATCTTCAGTTTTTCTAGTTTGTGGAATGTCTTTTTCCTTTTAATAGCCGAATTTAGTCCATTTATACTGTATTTATAGAGATTAGTTTCTTTTCCTCTTCCATTATTTATACTTTATAATATAAATATAAAGTTTATATGTAGGATTTATTGGTCTTGTTGATCTTTGTTTTCTTGGCTCTTTAATCTCCATACTACCACCTACTGCTCCTTCTTCTTGTCCTCTTCCTTCTCCTTTTTCCTTATCCATTTCTTTTGTCATCTCTGCTTGTATTTTGAGTTCCTCTTCTCTTGCTCTCTCAACTTCTGCTCCTCTAAAGTATTCATCATAAAATAATTCTGCTCTCTCAACTGAGTCTAATCTATGTCTTTGTTCTTGCCATACAAACGTCAAGCCTTCGGGAATCAGCCACCTGTAATTCACTTCTTTCTTGATTAGAATCTTTGTCAGAAATTGATATTCTCTTCTTAGGTCTCTCACTTTCCTTGGTATTCGCTTCAGGGCTTCAATCTCTTTTCCCTTGTATTTCAGTGAATCATCTCTTGCTTTCTGTAATATTTCTGTTCTCATTGTTTTCTTAGTAAATCTCACATGTACTTCTCTGGGCAGTTTGTCTCTCATCGCATATCTTGTATATACTCGGTATATTTCATCCAATACATCCTTCATTTTTTCTTTGGATATCTCCAAGGGTCCTGCCAAGATTTCTGTC